GTCACTCTTATGGGTTGCCACTTGCCAATCAGGCGAGGCAGCATTTGGAGAAAACGGTGCCGATTTGGACAAGAATAGCTCCGGATGTATCTCCCATTCAGATCAGAGTTGTATAATTTCATGTAATGATGAGCTTGGTGGATTTTTCTTAATAAGAGTGACTGTGTGGAAGCACATAACTTGGAACATTATCTAGTAAATGAGGTGGTTTGGGAATGTGGGGTGTACACTATCTATCACCAATTCTGTTTTAGTGTTAGAAGGTAGAACAGTGTCAGGGATCCAGGTGTGACCAGAAATGTGTGGACTGACACAGGGCTGGAGAGGTGGAATGGTCAGGCGGGCCGTAAGGTACTGTCAGGCACTGCCCGGCGGGATCTCTAGTGACCCACAGAACAGGATTCCCCAGGGTGCGGAGTCTAAGCCCCAGTCTGCCTTTTCACCAGAGCCCCTGATGGTAGGGATGGACTTGGCGCAGGTCTGAGACCAGGTCACGGCCCCTGAGTGCACCCAACTGTGGTAGAGGGGTCCGCCGAGGGTATGTACCGAGGGAAAGCCTGATGTGAAGGGGCTGGCAGGTTTGGACAGTAGTGACTGGATCCGTGTGGGATGGATGGATTTTCTGGGTAGCGTCAGGCGTAGTCAGGCAGGCCAGGTCAGCAACGCGCGGGCAGTGAGGTACCGGAGGAGCAGGCAGAGAATAGTCAGGGTCACAAGCTGGGTTCAGTAACTCACGGGCAGCGCGGTACAGAGGATCGTCAGGCAAGCCAGGGGTTCAACAGGAGACGGTCAGCAGAGGTCAGGATCAAAGCAGGGTCAGCAACTAGGCAGATAGGCAGGAACACAGGATAACAGGTACAGGGGCTCATGGGAAACATACACCAAGGCACTGACTGCAGGTCTGGCCATTCCTTAAATACACCTCCTGCACCTACTCAGGGACAAAAAAGAGAACATAATGGTGCAATACGTTTTTTTCTTTTATCTCTTTAATAAAAAAGGTATAAGGAAACTCACAAACAAGGTGTCCAACAGACACCAGCTTCAATGGCAAAAAAGGGTTGAGATACAGTTATTGCTAACCGGTTGGGCGTAGCCTACTTGATGTGGACGTTAGAGAGCCTTGATGTTCTGTGCTGTATGGGAGAGATCTGCGGTGAGCGTTAACTGTATTTCAACCCTTTTTTGCCATTGAAGCTGGTGTCTGTTGGACACCTTGTTTGTGAGTTTCCTTATACCTTTTTTTATTAAAGAGATAAAAGAAAAAAACGTATTGCACCATTATGTTCTCTTTTTTGTCCCTGAGTGTACTGCATGCTCTCATGGAGGTATGAGAAAGAGTGGAGAAGTTCATCATAAGAGCTTGGGCTGCAAAGTTGTTTGGCTGTGATTATTATTATCTGGAAGTATCTGAAACATCACCATATCTATTTGGACATCGGGTTCATTGCTCCCAGACCACAAGCGCTGTTGCTGGTTTATAATCTGACCAGCCATTAGCTCTGGTGAGTTCATTTAATCTCCTTTGGTGGTGGATTTTTCACAATTGGTTCAAGTCACTGAAGATATATATATATTTTTTGGACACTAATTTATGTTTGGACACTAGAATTATTTAAAACACTAATGTTTTTTGGATGATGATATACACTTTTGTATAAGTTTGTTATTAGCGCATACCTTTTAATTTGGATTATTGTTGCCAAAATTTATTTTGGGTGGGATATGCTGCTGACATTTTGGTGTTTTTTGTAAGTGGCGCTTTTTTCTTTTTTAATTTGGTATTGGTTGTAACCTCCTGCAATCAGCCCCAGGTGTTGGCTGACTGCAGGAGTGAGCTTCTGGCTGCTGAGAGCACCCACTAGTCAGCCCTGGTACTGCAACCCACACGGCAGGTGAGTCCGACCTCCAGTGCTGAGTCCATTCCTGACAAACAGAGTGCAGAAGATCATCAACGTCTTTAAATCTGTGCAGCCAGCACAACTACATAGAGACGCCAGTAATCGTAAAGTTTTTGTGGCAAGGCCTGTCTTCCAAGTCTGCCATTTTAGACTTTAGCCAAGATGGGTCCTCCTCTTTCATTATGTGCATCTACCAAAATATTGAAGGGTGGGGCAAGCTCCCACATTTTTTTTGTTTGTTTTTAATCTCGACCCTATCACAAAGATCCTGCACTTCTGCTTTAATTTGCCGGATACATGACATCATATCTGAGTGCAGGCTTGAATACAAAGAAACAAGCATATCTTTCATGGTAGTGTCCAAAATAGGCTGATTAGTAGTAGGAAAGGCTGTAATGGGATCTAGAAGTTCCTTGTGTCATCCATAGAATCATTAGGTGTGCTCACCTCTATGTCAGTTCTCTGTGCTGGTCTCCTTTGTCCTACTGGGTTTGTATTTAGCTGTGCTTCTGGGGGAAGTAGTGAATTTGTCTGATGGTGTGGATGATTAGGATACACTTCAGTATGATGTTGGAATCTGGACTCCGGGATCTGGCCGGAGTGTTGGTTGCAACCTGTAGTGGGTGGTTGCTGCTGCCTTTTTTGTTGTAAGCCATGTCCAGATAAAAACTTGCGGCTGGGCTCCTTCTTCGTGCTTGTTGGTCATACTGCCAGGTATTGAGGTGAATGTGCAGTCTTATGTGTTGTAAATAACTGTCAGGAAGCCCAACTGCCTCTAATGATTTCCGGTGCTGGAGAGGAGCTTTTTCACTGAGCTGTCATATGCCAGCATGGTCACCATGCCCCCCTTGCATGGTAATTTCTGATGCTGAACTAATAAGTGCCAGTCTCAAACAACATGTTAGAGTGCTTAGCAGGGTCTCAGGTTAATTAAATAGAAAGGTTTTGTTTCTATTTAACTTTGTTATACCACCTCTACAACATAATTGCCATCTGTAGCTTACTGTTGTTAGCAAACCGCAGATAACTATTGCAGATTTTCTGTAAGGAAGGCCAAGCAGAGTTGGCACAGATGCACGTCTTAGCATATATTTTTCTATAGGGTGATCTGTGAGCATTTTGCCTGGGGAAGAGAATTTAAATTGGCGAGTAAGTAATAGATGAAATATGACAGTGTAACATTCTGCTGCAACCATCGAAATCACACATTTTAAAAAAAATTCTCTGTAGTAGTAACTGACATGCCAAAGATTAATTGTTTTAATGCTTTAGAACTTTCTAAATAAAACCTTTCCAATGAGCAGCAACAGTAATCTTAAGTGCTTGCACATTCCATTGAATGTCTTTTTCCAGCACCGTGGGACTCTTGAAACCTGAAACACTCTGATGTGCACTTTGAAATATTGTTTACCAAATTCAATGGTGAACCTGCCCAACTCTTTTGTTTAGTAAGCATGTCAAGCTGGTGTTTTTTTGGGCAAATGCAAGCTATCATTGTTTCAAGGATTAAAATTAAATGAGGCCATGGATATTCCCAGTTCAAAAAGGATACACTTCATAACAACATTTTGCTGCTCATTACTTTAGAAAATATGTTTAAAGTGGATCTAAAGGTTTTTTACCTTAATGCAGTCTGTGTGCCAGAGCTGGCTTGGTAGTGGGCATGCACAAGTGCCTTCATTGCATAGCAAGCAGCTTGCTAAGGGAGCACTCAACAGTGGGGTGGAGCCAGGAGACCCAGTGGAGGACCTGAGAAGAGAAAGGATCGTGGCTTCTCTATGCAAAACCTTTGCACAAAGCAGGCAAGTTTGACATGTTTGTTATTTTTAAAGTTTTTACCTTTATTCCCGTTTCAGACGAGGCGGATCCATCGGCGTGATCCACCTGCTCAGTGGGGGATCTCTCCACTGATCTCTGCTGAGCATGCGAATGACAGTTCTCTGTCCGCTCTGCTACTGCAGAGCAGATACATGCACTGCCGGCTGGTTTCAATGGGACAGTCAGATGGAAACAGACCGCTTGTCCATTTCCACCTGTCATCGGATGGTGAATGGATCCCCATCCATTTGTTTTTGGCATACAGGATCGGATCGGGTGTTAGCGGACTATTGTCCACTGACACCCGCCAGTTCATTGAAGTCTATGGATGGACCAATCAGGTCTGCCTGAAAAACAGACAGGCGGACCCCATCGGTCCGCTCGTGTGAAAGGGGGGCTTAGAATCACTTTACGTCCCCTTCTTGGTTGCTATAACGTCCTCTTGAGGATTGATTGCATTAAATGAAGCCCAGTGTTTCATTCAGGTCGTCCTGCCTGATCTTGTTGTTTTTCTGAGCTTTTCCTGTCAAGATCCACAACTAATAGTTATGAATAATGAGTACAGTATTTTTTGCTGCCCTAGATAATTTCAACACTGAGCACACATTGAATTTCCAGGTTTGCTGTAAAGGGTGGAGAGGGAAACCTAGGTATTAGTGAGTCTGTCAGAGGGGTATGCTATAAAAGATGACCCCTTTCTGTGCTATCTTTGTCCCAGCTTCCTATTATGGGGTCATTTGAAAGTTAATTTTAGTGACGTGTATGTCACTCATTTCATTGATATTTACACTTTCATTTAGGCTGAACAGTATAGCTCTTACTTTGGACCCATTACAGCTATGTGGAAGCTTCAGTATCATTTATCTGCTCCCCCATTCCCTTCAGCCATTCACAGAATGCTTTTTATTCTGTGAACCATTCACAAAATACAAAGAATTCTGTAAATGGGCAGTGGTAGAGGGGATGGAAAAATGAGAACTACCACCTACGTATATGAGAGCCTCAGCTTTCATATCCTTAATAAATCGGAGGTATAACCGGATCCTATACTCCTTGGCCTAACAAAGTGTGAATATAAAAGAAATGACTGCGACTCTCAAAGTGACATACATCTTATGAGAGTTAACTTTTTTTTTTTACACAGATTGTAATGAAAAAGTGTTTGACTGAAGTTCTGGTGTATATCATAACAAATATTTCAAACTAGTTTTATGAGGAATTCTGCTGTCAGATGACCATCACTAAATGGCTAGTTTTCCAATGTTCCATTTTGTTTTCTAGGCTGGATGGCGTTCGATATGAAAATGGAGCAATCAGTGTTGTAAACAAGAAAAGTGGGAACAAGCAGAGATTCAACCAAAAGAAATTGTATGTAGTAATTTAAAACATATTAATTCATTGATACTTATTCTTGTGTAGATTTAAATAGTCTAGTTTATTACAATATAGTAATGTAGTTATATTCAATAAAACACTGCAGGTGATAAAGTGCAGGGTGAGGTACTTGGAGCAACCAGTTTATTACTTCTTGCAAACTAATGATTGCATAAGTCTAATTAAAAACTTCTGATAACTTTGTTGTATATAAACTGAAGGTCTTGTTCACATGGGTGTATTCATTCAGTGCCAGTTCATATATATATGCAGATTGAATGCGGTTTGATCAGCATGATATGTGAAATAACATTGCTTGCTATGGTGCCTGTTCACATATGTCCGGTACAGAGTCAGGGCGGTTTAAAAAAGTCATGTACTTTTTTTGAGCAGTGCAGTCTGTTTCAGCTGCGGATTACAGGCTATTGACTTCTATGGGAACAGTTTCTAAACCTGACATGTGTGAACAAGATAAAATCCTGAGCTGAACCTGATGTAAACCCAACCTGAACCGGTGAACAGCTACTGTGTCAATTAGCTGTGAAACCTGAACTTTAATCTGTACCTCACATGTGTGTGAAGCAGCATTTAGTGACAGTGTACGTTTGGGGCTGTGAAACCTCCCAGATTAGGAGCAGTGGCTGTGTCTGTGCTTCCACCGAATCCCAATTGACCTGAATGGGGATGCACGAAACACCCATGTATCCCTGTGTGGGCAAATAAGGGCTTCACATGAGCTTGCACCATATTACCAAACAACACACATCAGTGCTCAAATTAAGATGCTGGACACTGTCCCACAGTATAGGTCACTGATTCAGGTGCAGCCCTCCACAGATCGGGGGATCTTCAAGTCGCTAGAAAAACACACAAGAGGTCGCACACACTTTGTGTATTACCGTGATAAAAAATAAGTTATTAAAATCAAATACAAATGGGTATTTACAAACCAAACTTGTAAACAGGCATAAAACAAATAGCTTAAGTGTAGAGATGTGGAGTCCCATTTTGGAACCTGTGGATTGATATATCTGTAGTCCCTTCCTCAGAGCTGAGCCCACCAAGTATTATAGCAGCTTATAAATGGTCCTAGATCAGAGGCAGACTCCACACCCCTTCCTTGTGAACACAAAGTGGGTGGAGCCCAGAGAGAAGGAAAAAAAAAAGGAGAGGGGGGGGGAGTCTCATGCAGACACACCCAAAAAACCAATGGCGGCCCTAAATAAACCAGTGCCCCCACACAACCAACCAAAATACATAAAGGCTGCAACATAACTAATCAATACTGGGTATATAATAAATTAAAATGATCAACCTACAGAGGACTGAATTCAAATTCCCCCCTGAAAATCAAAGTGAAAAAATGATGCAGCAGGCTAGTCTATTTTGCTGAAATTTCATTGCAGCAACTCAAAATGGTACTCAGTAGTTTGAATGGCCCCCCATGCTTGTATCCATGCCTGACAACGTCAGGACATGCTCCTAATGAGACGATGGATAGTGTCCAGGGGTATTTCCTCCCAGATCTGGCTAGGGGATCACTGAGCTCCTGGACAGTCTGAGGTGCATCCTGGCAGCATCGGATGGACTGAAACATGATATCCCAGAGGTGTTCTATTGAATTTAGGTCAGGCGAGCGTGGGGGCCATTCAATGGTATCAATTCCTTCATCCTCCAGGAACTGCCTGCATACACTTGCCACTTGAGGCCAGGCATTGTCGTGCACCAGGAGGAACCCAGGACCCATTGTACCAGTGTAGGGTCTGACAATGGGTCCAAAATGTTATCCCGATACCTAATGGCAGTCGGGTGCCATTGTCTAGCCTGTAGAGGTCTGTGCGTCCCTCCATGGATATGCCTCTCCAGACCATCACTGACCCACCACCAAAACAGTCATGCTGAGCGATGTTACAGGCAGCATAACATTCTCCACAGCTTGTCCAGACCCTTTCACGTCTGTCACATGTGCTCAGGGTTTTCCTGCTCTCATCTGTGAAAAGCACGGGGTGCCAGTGGCGGACCAGCCAATTCCAGTGTTCAATGGCAAATACCAATCGTGCTCTATGGTGCCGGGCAGTGAGCACAGGGCCCACTAGAGGAAATCGGGCCTTCAGGAATTATGATTTTGATTGGTCAGAGACATTCATACCAGTGGTCTGCTGGAGAACCTCTCTGGAGAGACCTGAAAATGGCTGTCCACCAACAGTCCCCATCCAATCTGACTTAGTATGAGAGGATTTGCAAAGAAGAATGGCAAAAAATCCCCAATCCAGGTGTGCAAAGCTTGTGGCGTTATACCCAAAAAGACTCGCGGCTGTAATTGCTGCCAAAGGTGCTTCAACAAGGTACTGAGTAAAGGGTCTGAATACTTATGACAAAGTGATAGTTCAGTTTTTTTTTTTTTAATGAATTCACAGACATTTCTAAAATTCTGTTTTCAATTTGTCATCATGGGGTACAAAGTGTAGATTAACGAGGAAAAAAAAAAATAAACAACAGTAGTATCCGGCTGCAACAGAACAAAATTGAAAAAAGTGAAGGGGATCTGAACACCTTATGAAAACACTGTATATACATACATACACAGTTTCTATGTATTATATTAATTTGTTTTCTTTTTTTTTTGCAGCACCTCTTTGTGTGATGTAACAATGCGATCAGAAGATGGAAAAGAATTTAAGTGCCATAAATGTGTTCTATGTGCAAGACTTGGTATGTCTTTATACTTTGTAGAACTATCTTATTGTTTTTTACATTATCCAGTAAATTTGATTCTAATCCCTTTGCTTTCATTTTCATAGAATACTTTCACTCCATGCTTGGCAGCTCTTGGATTGAGGTATGATGAATATTGCAAATATTTTTGGGGAGAAATTGGGTCTATTTACAGTAATTGTTGAAAGTTGAGATCCAGTTTAGAAAATATTTTCTCTAACTGAGCCAAATGGAAAAGGTAACAGAAGTAAATGAGTGCTGTACAGTAAACAAGCAGTGTTTATGGTGTGACATTTAGTATTGTGAGCTAGGATAGGCAAAACTAATTAAGAAATAAAAAGCCTTTGTAGTTTACAGTTGACATTTTAATTATGATTTGTTTTCCCTTTGTAACAGGCATCCTGCTGTACAGCTCTAGAAATGCCTGTCCACTCAGATGTGTTACAGGTTATTATTGATTATATCTACACTGATGAAGCTCCTACAGTAAAAGGCAAGTGTGTTCTTATTCCCTATGTCTCTGAGGCTACCCATACAGTTACAGATTTCTTATCATAAGAACAGCGGGTAAAATAAGTATAAATAATAAGTATTGAAAACATCACAATTTTTCTCGGTGAATATATTTCTAAAGGTGCTATTGACATGAAATTTTCCCCACATGTTGGTACGAACCCATGCAATCCATACATACAAAGAAACCAAAACAAATAAGTTCAGACGTTAAGTTATGCATAATAAAATGGAATGACACAGTGAAAAAGTATTGAACACGCTAACTGAAATGTCCTAGATTGTAAGCTCGAAAGAGCAGGGCCCTCGAACCCCTCGTGTATTGTTTTGTTACTGTATTGTCATGTTCTGTCCCCCACTATAATGTACAGCACTGAGCAAACCTTTTGGTGCTATATAAATACTGTATAATAATAATAATACTTTTTACAAAATCCTTTGTTGGTAATGACAGCTTCTGACGCCTCCTTTATGGAGAAACTAGTTGCATGCATTGCTCAGGAGTGATTTTGGACCATTACTCCAAACAGTCTTCAAATCTTGAAGGTTCCGTGGGCCTCTTCTATGAACTCTGATCTTTATTTCTTTCCATAGATTTTGTATTAGATTCAAGTCAGGTGATTGGCTGGGCCATTCTAGCAGCGTTATTTTCTTTTTTTTAAAACTAATTGAGTTTCCTTGGCTTTGTGTTTGGGATCATTGTCTTTCTGAATTGTCCACCCTCAATTCATCTTCATCATGCTGGTAGATGGTAGCAGATATTTTATCAAGAATGTCTTGGTACATTTTTCTATTCATCCTTCAATGAAATGGTGTTTGCCAGTACCGTATGCTGAAATACAGCCCCACACCATGATGTTCCCATCTCCAAACTTCACTGTTGGTATGGTGTTTTTTTGGGGTGATGTGCAGTTCCATTTGACCTCCAAACATGATATGTATTATGACATTCAAAGAGTTAAATTTTGGTCTCATCTGACCAGACTATATTCTCCCAGTATTTCACAGGCTTGTCTAAATGTTGTGTAGCAAACTTTAAACAAGCTTTAACGTGCTTTTCTGCAGCAATGGAGTCTTGCGTGGTGAGTGTGCATGCTGGCCATGATGGTTCAGTGCATTACTTACTGTTTTCTTTGAAACAATTGTATCTGCTAATTCCAGGTCTTTCTGAAGCTCTCCACAAGTGGTCCTTGGCTCTTGGAGTACCTGGTCGTGGTAGGTTCATGGAGAAATTATGTTCTTTTCACATCCGGATTATAGCCCCAACAGTGCTCACTGTAACATTCAGAAGTTTAGAAATCCTTCTGTAACCAATACCATCAGTATGTTTGAAACAATAAGGTTGCAAAGGTCTTGAGAGAGCTCTTTGCTTTTACCCATCATGAGATGTTTATTGTGTGTGACACCTTGGTAATGAGACACCTTTTTATAAGCCATCAGTTGAGACGGAACGAGTGGGTATTAATTTGCACTAACAAGGGGCAGGATTGCTTTCTGATTACTGATAAATTTCAGCTGGTGTCTTGGCTTTCCATGCTTTTTAAACTCCTTGCTTTCTTGTGTTGTCACCAATGGGTGGTGAAAATTTCATGTCAATAGCACCTTTTAGAAATATATTTACCGAGAAAATGGTGACGTGTTCAATATTTATTTTACCCACTATATCTGTGTTTTAAAGTATTTCTGCAAACACTGCTACCCATTTTGTAATTTTCATATAGTCCTTGTGAGTTGCATCAGTTCATGTGTCTGTCATTTCACTTTTAATAACTGCTTGCCTTATGGCTACAATAAAGTATGTATTTTAGACGAATTTTAGTTCTATACAGCAGCTCTTTTTTTTGTGAAGCAAAGGTAATCCAGTTGTGTCCATTTCTGTAACCTTTCAACAATGTTAACAAATAAAATCTGTTTTGAAAGTGGAACTATAATGGGTAGGTTTTTATATTTTTTTTAAACTTTTCCATCAGTTTTATATCTGTAATGTACAATCTTTGTTTTACAAATCTTGAATACTTGATAAATGCATCCCAGAGACCTATGAGGCAGGATTTGCTTTTCTTTGACATCCATTCACCTTCGGGTTATTTACTCACCTACAGGAGGATAGGCCAGCCTAGGATAACCCCTCCACTCCCATCAAGCCTTAACTTTTTCTAGTGTCCTTGGCAGATTCCAACCTGTTTTGCTAGCATTTTTCATTTGATTTTTTCTGCAGTCATGATTCCTGCTATATCCCTGCTAGAACTGGTCTCTGCATGGCAGCTATCTGGCCTTTCCCCAGCCCAGCTATGGAGTGTTGTACCCAAACCCTACTAGACTGGTTATTGTTTAGCTAGCCTGACCTAGATATAGAGTACTGATAAGTTAACTATAGAATGCTTTTCAAGTCCATTGGGCTTTGGTATTGTCTAAGTTCTTGCCTTTTGTCCAAAGATACTATGTTGAGTAGGCTAATCAGGCTTAGCACCAGGGGCTAACTCGTACTTTGGACTGCTGAGCACGCTTAAACTCCCACCTCAGCCTCCCAGAGAGGGTTAATACTGAGGGATTGAGTGCTGATGATCTTTCACTGGATGGAATTTCCACGTATTTTTTTATGCCATTTAACATTGACGAAGCACCTTCCTTCTGCTGATTGTAAGGGGCCATATTGAATGCCTGCCTACAGTGACTTGCTTCCAGCAATTTGATTCATGAACACCTGAGGACTTGTCTTATAAACTTGTGCTGTATTGCATTTTACCTTGCGGTGTAGCGTTTTTGACTTTAGACATAGGGGCCAGTCCAACTGTGCTGTGCGTCTCCAGCTCACACTCATGACTACTATCTTGGCTTACATTTGCAGACCAGAAATTTGGCCTCTGCCAGAAGCTAGGCCATCTTTGGAGTCTTCCCTAGCTCCATCGGTTGTGGCTGCTTCTATGCTACAGATGCTGACTCTTACCGCAGAGGCCACAAACATGTTTCTGCGACTTCTCTCACAGATTTTATGCCTTATCTGCTTGCTTTCTTTGAGCAATTCTGTCATTGTGGGAGAAGTCATTCCAGCCCATAGACAGACTAATTGGTCTGGTGCTAAGGGCTGTCCCTTGTTTGATGGCTCAGCAATCCAGCTCTGGAATTGGGGAAGTCCTTACCCCACAGATTCTCTGTCTGATCTCCCTGCAGCCTCTGAGCCATCCTGTACTTGTGGGATAAGTCTCTTTAGTCCCTGGACAGACAAAATGGTCTGGTGCCAAGGACCAAGTTGTTCCTGTTTTGATGGCTCAGGAATCTGCCTCTGAAATTGGGAAAATCCTTCCTATTCCATCTAATGGGCTGAGGATTTGTCCAGGGCACTTTTATGATGCAGGGGACCTTGTCAGAGGAATCTAATCTCTCAAATACAAGAGAAATACAAGAGTCTTTACACACCAGGAGGTGTTCCAAGACCTGTGTCACAGGTTTGGAACTGTGGATGTGGACCTTGTTGGCTTTTAGTTTCAACAGCAAACTGGACACGTTTTTCTCTGGATACAAGGATCCTCTTGAGGAAGCACTGGATTCTCTGGTGGATCCATGGGATGCGTAGAGTGCATTTCAGTAGCTCCAGATTAGCCCAGGTAGATTTAGTACTCTGACCTGGCCAGACCTCAGAAAGACACTCCATGAGCTTTTACAGATTGTCCTGCTCTTCTGTCTCAAGGACTGTTTTCCCATCTTGCTTTCAGTCACTGGCCTTAATGGCATGGCTGTTGAAGCCTAGTTTTTGGGAGATAATGGCCTATCATTCATTGATTTGTGTAGGGAGTCTTCCATGTAGCCCCTGTTGTTTGTGACTTGGTGGGATCTGAATGTTTTTCTCTTTGTGCTTCAGAAGCTGGCATATGAACCTATTAGAGACATCCCTCTTTCTTTTCTCATCTATCTCACCCTTTTTTTAAGCTTCTGGTGGTTGACCACTACCTTAACATTGACAAGGTTTTTTGTTCCATAATATTTTAATTAAATGTTTTTAAGAAATTGCAAAATTACGATATGTGATGCAAAGAAAAAAAATACAATGTCTGAGAATGACTTTATACAATCAAAGTAAACACAAAATAGAAAAAGAATCCCATGAGCTGGGCATTCAATAAACAATAAAATACAAATCTATAATGTAACCCACAAGGGTGACTGCAAGTAGCGGTAAATGAGGGGGATAATCCCCTAAGATTTCTCCTGATCGAATACACATGAAATAGCCCCTCTAACTACAGATTAGTCTGTTTATGTTATGCAGGTGTGGGCAATGTCCTGTCAAATAGGCTGTACCCTAAAAAACAAACCCAAAAGTACATTGTGCCCACCCACAATCAAATGTGTCTAAATGCCTAATCCCAAGTGCAAAAAATAAACAAGCTATTAAACCAAGTCGATGATGCTCAATAACTCATGATAGCTGGGCTTTTATAGAGCCACAGGGCAAAAAATAACTGATGTTCTCCAGTAAATGAAAAGGGGGAAAGCCACGCATCTCACCCAAGTCCCACCGCCTGGGTTTGCTACTTGTAGTATAATGTTTGTGAACCCTCTGTGGGAGCAGAGAGCCCAGTAAACATTGACAACATTGATATTCTTTTTTTTCCATCAAGGATCTTAATGTTTCAGGTATTCAGTAAAGATGTGAAAATGCAAAAGGTTTGTTAATTTAAAATACTATTATGGTTGAGATGAAGATCAAAGCACCATTATTCAGAAATCAAGGGCTCACAAATGTTTTCAACTTTATAAGTCTGTATAGGACATGCACTGGTTTTACCCTGTTCCATATGTTCATGAGAGAATACTCTGGATGGTGCTGCTGCACTCTTTGTAAGAATATATTATTAATTACAGGTACTTATATATCGCCGTCAATTTACGCAGCGCTTTCACATTGTACATTCACATCAATCCCTAACCCTCAAGGGGTGTACAATCTGAAGTCCCTAACTCCCATTCATACATACACATACTAGGGCCAGTTTATACAGGATTTAATTAACCTTCCAGCATGTCTTTGGAGTGTAGGAGGAAACCGGGTTACCTGGAGGAAACCCACGCAGGCACAGGGAGAACACGCAAACTCCAGGTAGGTGGTGCCGTGGTTGGGATTTGAACCAATGACCTTAGTACTGCCAGGCGTAAGTGCTAACCATTTAGACACTGTGCAGTATAAAGCAATTGGGCTACTGACTGTACTCTATTACTATTGCACCAGATTAGTTAGAAGATCTCGCTACACCCTCCCTGGTCTACTCAACCATGAATCTCCATGAATATTGTAGCTTTGGAAGCACTGTCAAGCAGTTTGATTATATTTGTAATCAACTATTTGTGCACTGCTTGTACACTGAGCTCTGTAGATCAGAAGATGTATATGTTTCATGTTGGAGTACACAGATGTAATATGTGTAATCTTACCTGTTTTGGCTGTGCATTCTTCTTGTCAGATATACTGTAACAGAAGCATATATCAGGTTCCAGACCAGATGTTTTAATTTTCTGTACTTGTATTAGTTCTTTCTTAGTTTCTTTCAAGTTACATCTTGCTCTATTTATAATTTGCACTTTCTTTACAGAGTCTGCAAATGTGGAATTTATTTGTAATGTCCTAGTAATGGCAGATCAGCTACTTATCATTCGACTGAAGGAGATGTGTGAGGTCACACTTACTGAAAGACGTAAGTAGAAGAGCAGTAGTGTTGGAAAAAGGTTATGTGCCATATATTTCCTGTTTTGAGCAGCTGGTGAGCTCCAGCATTCATAATGCTTACACAGTTTGTAGGTTGATGGAGAGCAACGCCTCTGAATGATTGTGACCACACCTCATTAGCTGAGAACAGTGCGCTGGCCACCTGGGTGGAAACATGATAAAAGATGACTTTTGTGTTGTCCTTTTACTGTACACTACTTGGCAATTTGCTCTTAGCGTTGCTAAAATGCTTCATATGTAAACACTGTTGTGTTAGTAATCTATGTGACATTTACAGTAGGGGAGAAGAAAGATATTTATTTGCAGGGCAGTCTGATTAAAGCTACATATTTTAAGGTATAACTAAAGGCAAAACCTTTTTAAGTTTTGGACAGAGTGGATATGGATTAGACACCCTGTCAGTTTTTATTGCTGTTTGTGCCTGTTAGGAAGATTCACCCTCTCAATTTGTTATGTTTACCATTATCATTGAAAAGAAACTTCAAATTTTGGGTTATCCCCAGAAAAGTAATAGAGGGGACATTTTCCAATGGGGACACTAGTTCTGGTCCCCAAAGAATTCCCTTAATTTGCAGAGATTTTCTCACTTTTTGTTTTGGCTATGGGGCTGGAAGTGAAGGGAAATCTCCACAATGGGAACAGGTTAGGCAAAAATAAACTGACGGCTTATAAGCTTCCCTTACTCGATCCAAAATGAAAAAAAGGTTTTCCCTATAGTTCTACTTTAAGATAAGTAATAATATTTTAGAATTTTGGCTCTCAAATGTCTCTAATTGTGGTGTATAATAGTAGAGAATTTTAGGCATACCTCTAGATGTGAGGGTCTTTTTAAATGCCAACCTGTTACAGCATTGTATTGAGGACGGTGGCTGGACTTGGGTATATACTTAAATACTGTATATAGTGTATCACCAGGAGATCCTTGTCTATTAATTTTTAACATTAAAGAGAACCAGTCAGAAGCTGCAGTAAGAAGGCAAGGCTGTCCATTACCAAAGTCTTTATTAACAAAGTCTTTAGTATTTCCTTGTCATGTAATCCTGGAAGCATCCTTGTTATGAGAATTGTTTTAGGCGTCTGTTATCAGCACTGAGCTCAGGGATGCAACAGAATGGATTTGCAGTCTGACAACTTTCTTCTGACATGTTGCACATGGAAGTATATAATCCTAATTTACATAAATCCCTGAAAGGTAATTCTGCACTGTAATACGTTTAAAGGTTAAGTTCACCTTTGGAACATGTTACATGTTCACCAGTTTTTAGGGTGTAACATGTTCCAGCATCTGCAGACTCTTACCCTCTCTCCTCAATCCCCGATCTCCCCTTCTTGTGAAAGTGGGCGGGCATCCTCTCCCCACACCTACTGTCACAATTTTAAAACGGCCACGTCAGTCATTCATTTTTCTGTGAATTAATGCCTACAAGTATGCAACTGCAATGGCTGACAGCTTGTAGTTCTCAATGAACTACGAGGGTGCTTGTGGACACTCTTGTAGTCCATTGATCTGCCTGCTCTCAAGTAACTGCTTGTCCATTTGAGGTACGGGCAGACAGTTATCCAGAGAGTCTGCAGGATCCTGAGATTGCACCCATGACCTGTTGATCACGGATACAATGCTCTGCAGGCTCTTTTAGAAAAAAAATAATAAATCCAACTTTTTTTTACATGTAAAAAATGTGCATTTATTTATTTTGTTTTCAAAAGGGAACTTATCTTTTAAGAGTGGAGATTTAGATGATTACAAATTGCCGTTGGTGATGGGGTTTTTTTAAAGTAGGGCTCTGGGTTAAATTGATAATTTCAGTATCCTAAATAAATGTCCCACAAATATTGCCTACATTACATTACACTTTTCCTGCTCCAGCCTGCTGATTAGACAGTGCGGAGCAGAAACCTAATGATCTTATTATTATTATAATTGTTATTATTATTACTATACAGGACTTGTATAGAGCCAACAGTTTGCGCAGTGCTATGATATACAGTGTGAGACTGACAGTTCTGTTCAATGCAATAGAATCCTGACTAGGCCAGAGCTAACCTTCCCCTCTCCTGTTGCTGTACAAAAGATTACAGCGAGCTAATAGACAATTCAAGTATCTATCCTAGCTGTTTGTAAAAATACTGTATATTTAATGGTAATGAATACTTTAATTGATTAAAGGGTGTTTTAATATTCCACTGGAATTCCGATTGATAGTTTATGAATATTAGAGTTTTACCCACATGTCTGATGTACAGTAATAAGATTTTTTTTTTTTTTTTTTTTTATACTAGTTACCCTGAAGAATGCGGCGGAGTTGTTGGAGTTTGCTGCTTTGTACAATGCTGATCAGCTGAAGCTTTCTTGTTTCCAGTTCATAGGATTGAATGTAGCGGCTTTATTGGAAGCAAGGTACATGTGCTATCATTTATTCATTGTTTTTCTAAATGCTATTATTTACAATTGCTTTCTATTGGCTTCCTGCACATTTTATAGAAAAGCTTTTTCTGCATCCTGAAAAGCAGGATATCTAAAAGGCCATGTCCACACAAAGCAGTTCACTTAAGAATGTGTGCTAATGGAAAGCCCACTCTTCTTCAAAGTGCAGTGAAGTGCTTGCTTATGATTTACAGATGGCTGCAGATCACATTCATTAATAAGAGGCTAAGCTATAAGATATAAACAATATGTTCTTCGGTAGAAACATGCTTTTGTTGTTGTTATGGTAATGAGCTTTTCTTTCCTTAGGTCATTGGATGTTTTGAGTGATGATGTCCTGACAGACCTGGCAGACTCTTATAGAAAAATGGTAAGGAGAAAAGTACAGGTGTAGTTATGTGTCATTGTGAAATATGTGTGTGTGTGCATTACATGTAGGATGGATCTAATATTTTTGTTGTTGCTTTTAAAGTATTATTAATGGCTGTGTGAAGGGTTATGTTTGTGTTCTCAACCTTTTTAAAAGCTCTGGGTGGAGAGTTAAGCTTAGTATACATGATGAGAAAACATACGAAAAATGCCACTTTCATAGCAATTGTCTGATAATCTGTTCATTAGTACACAGCTTTCGAGTGGCGATCACGACGGTACATGCAAAATTATCCAAAGGGACAAGAGCTAAAATTTTTCTTGTAAGATAACAGAACAAACTGTTTTCGTTTAACTGCTTTCCAACCGCCCTAAAGCAGGTATATTGCTACAGGGGGGCATGGGTGCGCGCAAAATCACGTGTATATACGTGATTTTGCATTTCCATGTAGGCGGCGCGCACACGCCCTACCCGCACTGCCATTCACAGCTGTAGATCACCGGGTCCCAGCCGGTGATCACTCGCAGGCGCCCGGTGATTGCCAACGATCTCCGATGGGGAGGAGAACTGTGTGTAAACAAAACAGTTCTCCCTGTCAGCTCGTGCACACTGCTGTGCATGGCTGTGCGCAGCACAGCCATACAAAGCAGTGTGCTTACAGTGAAGCACAAACACATGGCCCCATAGTAAAGCACACCCAGCACACAGTTAACTCTTTGATCCCCCCTCATGTTAACCCCTTCCTGTCCAATGCCATTAGTACAGTGTCAGTGTGTTCTTTTTAGTACTGATCACTGTATTGATGTCACTGGGGATGTCAGTGACATCAAGTCAGTTCCTTCCAGTGTCAGAATGCCCCCCGCAGTCCCGCTATAAGTTGCTGATCGCTGCCATTACTAGTAAAAATGAAAAAAAAAAAATTCCAGTATATATACCGCCATTTGTTAACGCTACAAAAAAATTTTCTAGCAAAGACATGTAGCAAAATTAATTTTGTCCTAAATTTATGATGAAATTTGATTTTTTAATTTTTTTTACTGGACATGGTTAATAGCAAAAAGTCAAAAATATTGTTTTTTTTTTCTCAAAATTGTTGTTCTTTTTAATATAAATATATATATATATATATTGCAAAAAATAAAAAACGCACAGGCGATCAAATACCACCGAAAGAAAGCTCAATTAATGGGAGAAAAAGGACTTAAATTTCATTTGGGTGCAGTGTTGCATGGTCAGAAACTAAAGAATACTATACAATACATTACATCACTTCTGAAGTTGTATTCTGACATACAAGAATTTGCGTAACTTTAGTTACCTCTTATGTCTGTGATATGAAACTAGCATGCAAAAAAAAAATAAAAAAGGACGATCATTCATCGGATATTCTCATCGTATGTACAAGGCTGTAGTGCTATGTGTCCTTGGTTTTTCTTTGTGTGACAATGAATACTGACTGTAGCATCGGTGCACTTTGGTACTGCATTCCTTTGCATCAACATGTTGCCTGTGGCTACATGCTCGCCAACACAGATACAGAGTTAACTGAAATATGTGCAACACTTCTGCTTTTTGTTTTTGTCCTAAATTGTTGATCGCTTTTTCTTGATTTAAGTATGATTGCTGCACTTTAATTCTATCTTTTATGTTCATTTCTTTAGATTCCTGCCATGGACAAGAGATTTATTACGCCATATTTGGATGGTCCTGACATAAGCACTTTAGAGACAGAAGATAGTGAAAGTTTCATGTCCATCAGAGAAGACAGTTTTTCTGAACAATCCTCCTCGTAAGCCGTTCTTCCTGGTTTTATTATGGCATTTGAACCAGTTTTTATATGTGCCTAATGGAGGACTTGTGTTGCTGTATGCTGTAGCATTTGATCAAATTCTAAAGCTAGCTATATACTTTTTGGTAAACAACATGATCTCTGTGAAAACTGCTGGTCCCAAAATAGTTCTTTTAGGAATCAAAGGGCTGATTGATAGGATCCATTTGGATGGCTAAGCCTTAAGATGAATGGTATCCGAGCCTTGTGTGGAAGGACTCAACGAGTCCTGTAATGTGACATTTTTTGGCGCTGGACCCTGCGTCACAAAACCCTGTGCAAGTTCTAATGACCAAGGTGTTTCTGGCAGGGTGCTGTTTGGGTCCAAGGGAGTGGACCCCAAGAGTTAAGGGGGACCCAGTCCTTGAAGGTTCTCAGGTGAAATGGCCTGCCTTGATGGGCGAAGATTGGGTCTTTAGCCATTGACAGAACCCTGCTGCACGATTGGTAACTGGAGACCCAGTGGTTTTCTCCAAAGAGTAAAAGGAGAAAAAAAAGATGTATTTTAAATGCATTCTTGGAAGGGCAGTCTCAATACTGTTTTACAATATATACGATCTCAACCACTGATCTTTTCTATGCAATCGCAGCAGTAATACTTAAAGGATAAGTTCACCTTTTACACAAAAATAATAAATGCACATTTCTTTGCAGGTAAAAAAAATGTGCATTTATTATTTTTGTCTGCAGAAGCCTGTAAAGTATTGTACCAGTGATCACTAGATCACTGGTGCCATGCTGGTTTCCTGCAGACCTGTCAGTATTTCTGCTTGTCTGTACAGGATGTATGAGCAAGCGAATATACTGACAAAAAGATTCAATGAACTACTAATTCATTGAAAACTACAGCTAAACTAAGGCTGTGCGGACGTGTAGTGCATTCATTCATGGAACTCTGTGAATGAATGAAGTGGCCGTGTGGGCGGAGCCCCGCACTGCTGCTCTGTTTTCAAATATAACGGATAGTATGGGGAACTTCTCCCTGTACTTCTGTCAGAGGGAGGGGGAGCAGCGGGCAGCGGCTGCAGTATTGGGAACATGTAACATGTTCCCAAAGGTGAACATATCCTTTAATCACAGCCTTGGTGCCTGTTGTTTTGTATTTGGCCACTAGCGTTTTAGGCCTGCTCTGTGTAATCTTGGCAGCATGTATAACTTGCATGAAGTCATGGCAATATGGAACAGATGGAGTCTTGAGATTAAGTAATGGAGCACCTGCAAGGGCTGCTCACTGGAGCATAGGGCACACGCAGGGCGCACATTTGCAGGGTACTACTAGTCGTCCATTCCTTTTGGATGGAATCAGAGTTTGGAAGGTGTACATTTCATGGTGTGAGTCCAGGAGATAGCATCCTCAGAAATATGTAATAAGGAGAATTCTCTCTTTTCTCCAGTCTGGTGTGGAGATTAAGTTGGCCTTAGGCACTCTTAAGGGTCAGATTTCAGCTTTGTCCATTTTTTTTCCAGAGGCCTGTTGCTTTGCATATTTTCATTTGGGCTTTTTAATGGGGTGGTTTGTATGGTTCCTCCTGTCAAACCACCCTTGTGCCCTTAGGACCTGAATTTACTGTTGAGTGTCTTGCAAAAGCAACCTTTTTAGCCTATTCACAATATTCCACTGGTTATTTTGATATTTGAAGGGAAAGGATCCACACTTTTTGGTTAGGGCGCACTCTTCCAGAGGTGTAGGAGCCTCTTGGGCAATTTGTCATCAGACGTCAGTGGTTCAGGTTTGCAAGGCCACCACTTGGTCATCTGTGCATACATTCACAAGGTTCTACCAGGTGGATATTAGGGCTGCGGAGGATACGGCCTTAGGTCGCAGTGTATTATGGGCGGCAGAATAGGTCCTGGTTTGATGGAGGTTTCTGTGAGTGTGTCTTCCTCTTCTCAAGTTTATTGCTTTGGGACATCCCAGATAGTAATGAATATAGCCTGCTCTGTGTCCCATGATGTACAATAAAGAAAACTGGATTTTTCTACATGCTTACCTGTAAAATCCATTTCTTGGAGTACATCACGGGACACATAAGTCCCACCCCTCTTTCTGGGATTTTCCTTGCTTGCTACAAAACTGAGGTACGACTTGTAAGGGAGGGGGTTATATAGAAGAGGACTTCTTGTTTGGTTTGCCAGTGTCCAGTCACCAATAGGTGGCGCATAACCCAGATATGATGTACTCCAGGAAATGTATTTTTACAGGTAAGTATGTAGAAAGAAAATCCGATTATGAAGATGAAGAGGATTGTATCCCATTCGGTGTGGCAGGTGATGGATACAACAAACTGTCTCCAAGTCTAAGGCTTCTCTAGCCTTCATTCTCTGGTGACTCCACGGAATCAGTTCAACCTGATCTCTATGCCTGTGAAGGTCTACAGGACTGGGATGCAGGGTGTTCTGGAGAGTCTCGTCACACCATACTGGCCCAGATGGATGTGGTACTCGGACCTCATCAAACGCTTGGAAGATTCTCCATGGGCCCACCCAGATTGTCTAGATATTCTATGCCAATGACCAGTATGCCACGCTTCTTTAAGGGTTTAGCTGTTGAAGCCCATGTCCTGAGGAATATGGGTCTATCTGTTTCTGTTTTCCATACTCTTTTAAAAGCTAGGAAATCCGCTTCTTGCAAAGTCTTTCAGCATATTTCATATGGTGCAAGGCAAGCAAATTCCATCCCAGGATGTAATTTGTTTTATGAATGCTGTCTTTTCCCAGTCTGGACTGGATCAGCATTTAGCCTTGAGAACTGTTAAGGGGCAGTTCTTGTCCCTAGCTGTTCTTTTTCAAAGACTGCTTGCCTCTCACTACTTATTAAAGTCCTTTGCTCAGGGTGTTGCTGACATTATTTCCATTGTATGTCCCCCAATGACATTATTGGATCTCAACCTAGTTCTGTATGCGTGTCATAAACTGCCCTTTCAAATTAACAAGGATATTTCTCTGTCTGCTGTCACACATAAGGTTGCCTTCCTCTTTGCCATCAACTCTGCAAGGCTAGTGTCTGACTTGGTGACCTAGAGGCATGGTAAACATTTCTACCTGCACCTTGTGTTTTTCACCTGCATCAGATGTGCATTGATCATGTAGTTTCATTGTGTCGTGTTGCCCTGTATGCACAGCCTAGTAGAGTGAATACTCACATTCTTGTGTCAGCAGTTTCATGTTAAAACATGAAGCATGGCACTACACAGGATGATGCATGACCTCTAGTCTAAGTACAGAACTGACACTATGAAGAAACTTCATGTTCCACAATTCCTGGGTCTCTCACTCTAGCACTGGTGCAAGTCAAAGCTTCACAGTAATTGGAGCTGACAGACACAAGCATTCAGAGCATTCACACATAAATAGAAAGCTCATTTGTAGTTTGGAGATAATGGTTTTCATCATATTAGTCCCATATTTGTGATGCAACAGAGAGGAGACGGTGAGCATGCATTCGATGCTTTGTGACTTGGTACGAGGAATTGCCTTTTCCCATTGGCACATAGGGACGAGCTAGGTGAAGCAGTGCAAGGGCATAGGGGCATCAATCAGCAATGACACTACAATCTTCAAACACAACATTTGAGCCCATTATTATGAGGTAAGACAAACCAACAACACAAGGATTATAACTACACTAATACCTAGTTGAAATAACAAACACATCTGAAAGTTCTGTTAAGGTTCAGTACCCTTTCTTGTGCTACATAGACAAGGTTGCGTTGAGGCCTCTTTTATTCCCAAGGTGGATTCTTCCTTTTCACCTTAACCAGGACATATAAAAGAGATTCTCTCCATTGTCTGGATGTGGTGCACACTGTTCTAATCTGTCTTTCACCTACAGCTCACTTTAAGCAGCCTGACTCTGTTTCTCATTCCTGAAGATCCTTGTAGTGGACAACATGCTTTTTGTCCCACTAATGCAGGTTAATTCAGGAACTCATCGCTCACGCCTGTTGACTAAAGAACAAAGTTACACCTTTCCCCATCAAAGGGCACTCCACAAGATCAATCACTGTTTTTTGGGCTTTTCAGCTTCAGGCATCTGTTTCTTGGTGGACATTCAGACCTCATAAGGTTCTTGTGGTTCTATAATCTCTGTTCAACCCTCTCTGTTAACCTGTGGGTTTTTATGGGTCCATTAGCTTTCTGTTTGCTGCCTTGGCCACCCTTCAGTTGGACTGCTTTTGCATGTTCCAGTGTACCTGAATTACTTCATTCTGTGTCCCTTAACCCCTTCCTCCCTAGGGGTAAAACAAATGTTAGTGCTTAAGCACAATTTTACAACTTTGACGTGTTAGTAAAGCCATACATATCATCGCAACTACTTTGTGTATCCAGGTGCATTATACCTTGTTTTTTTCAGGAGAACCTGGGCTTTCATTTGGTGGTAAATGGTAATGGATATCTCCTTTTTTGTTTTATTTATTATCATCAAATTAACAGTGGCCCAAAATAGTAAAAAAAAAAAAAAATAATAATATTTTTTAAATGTAGCTGTATATTGCTTGCTACTACCATAACATACCACCAAAGAACAGCCCAAAATAAATTCTCCTGTTCCTGATGATGAAAGCATTTTGCTTTTTTTTTTTTTTTTTTTTAATCCTACCTAAACACACTGACACGAATACTAATTAAAAAAAAAAAAAAAGACACACACACACACTATAATTATTATACAGTATTTATATAGCACCAAAAGGGTTGCTCAGCGGTGTACATTGTAGTGGGGGACAGTACATGGGACAATACATTAACAAACCAATACACGAGGGGTTCCAGGGCCCTGCTCTTTCGAGCTTACAATCTAGGAGGGGGGGATAGAGGTACAGGAGGAAGTGGCTGTGGGGGATGGAGTGGTAGAAGGAGTAGAGGAGATCGGCTGTTAGGTGAGGGTGGAGTAGGCTTCCCTGAAGAGATGGGTTTTCAAGGTGTGCCTGAAGGTGAGGAGGGTAGGTGACAGTCTGATGGATTGGGGTAGTGAGTTCCAGAGGATGGGGGAAGTCCTGGAGAAGTACTGCAGTCGGGCGTGGGAGGTGGAGACCAGGGAGCTAGAAAGTAGGAGGTCTTGTGAAGAGTGTAGAGTACGGGTTGGGTGGTATTTGGGTATCAGGTCGGTGAGGTAGTTTGGGCCAGTGTTATGAATGGCTTTGTATGTCAATGTTAGAAGTTTGAATTGAATGCGTTGGGCAATCGGAAGCCAGTGGAGGGAATGACCTCCTCAGTGGTAGCAAGGCTGAAGGAGCGGAGTGTTGGGGAGGTTACAGTGTGCGGGATGTTAGGTGTGGTGGGGGGGGGGCAGGGCGGTTGCGAGGTCTGAGGAGGGGAGAGTTGATGGGGTAATGGTGGGAGGGAGGCTAGGTGAGGGCGATACAATGTACCGCCTCCTCCATTCAGAGAGGGCGAAAACATGGGAGCAGGCTTCACAGTAACAGATTACTGTGATAGCTAATCAGAGGCTATCGCAGCAATAAGGGGACCCAGAACCAGGAGTTCCGGTCCCTATCGTTAGTATGGGAATCAGGGCTCTCGGTGAGACCATGGTCTCTGTGCTGGGAGCGTGCAGTAGGGCAGATACACATATATGTGGCCCCATGGAAAAAATGCCCAGTCCATACATGCATGCGCTCGGTGGAAAGAGGTTAATGTGCATATAAGAAAATAGGATTTTTCACCTACCATAGAATCCTTTTTCCTGGAATACATTAAAGTGGTTCTACAGGCTGAAGGTTTTGTTTTTTTTACCTTAATATATTCTCTGCTGACTGACACGGGTTCTAACCTTTCCCCACTATAGCCAAAACTTGTTAAAATTTATGTTCAGCCAAAAATTTTTTTTTTACTTAAATACTCAGTCTTGGATGCATCTACCATGCATGTGTCCATTGCTTCTAATTGCTCTTTTATTTCTACAGTTACAGTGTAACTTTAATGGTTATGTTTCCCAGTTTAGCCAGCCCTAATTAACATGGTAAAATTCATTTTGTGGCCTCATGCAGAAAGTTTATTGCAGCATTCATTTTCATAAAGAGGTCTTGTAAACATAATCTTCCTTTATAAAGGCAAAAGTAATGATTATTGTAGACTATAAACATATTTTAAAATAATTCTGTATATTCATAGAGAAACACTTCTCAAAAAGGCTAAAACTAAAGCCAAAAAGAAGCCAAGGAAACGTTCGGACAGTTCTGGAGGATACAATCTTTCTGACATTATTCAAAGCCCACCTTCAACAGGTTTGTTTGCTATTTCCTGTGTTTCGTCATTCATCTCTACTATTCATTTTTATTTTCATGCTTTATGTTATAGTCTTTACTAAGAACCCTTTCACAGATCAGGACCTCTTTATTTTTGCATTCCGCATGCCAATGATACACACATTGCAGATTAGGAGGATCACTAGATAACCCTTAAATGATATTCTTTTCTGGAAGTAGGGAGACTTTAAAATGAAGACAGTGGCTGATATTTGTATATTTCATTGATTCCTGCAAATGTTTATCAGAGATATCTCTTTGGTGCATAAGATATATCCTCAGTACAAAAAACACTGTAATGGTAAAATGCTAAGTATTGAGCATGAGTGTGACTTTGAAAATAGTTTTTCATAACCATGAAGTCACTGATATGCTAATAGCAGTGAAAAAAGTAAAATGTATATCAGCACACCATAAAAAAACATATGCAGTACACCTCAGTGCATGCATATTTTCCCATGTGTATTCCTTTATAGACCCTGCAAGTACAGAAAAGTACCTGCTGATATGCTAAAAATGCACTCAGCACCTAATTTCCTGTCTGGCCTTACAACATATAGAAGTTTGTGGAATTGAATCACAAGCAATTGTGTCAACCCTGCCTATCTGTCTTACTACACTACTGAATTTCTCCCCTTCTCTTTATCGCTACAATATAGAGAGTAATTGTTCTATAGCCCAAGATAAGAACTGGGTGAACTGATTAGGTTTCCTGAGATAACACAGGAACAGTAATCAAGACCCAGCTCTGTTTTGAATTTCTGACAAGATCAAGTTTTTTTTTTTTGTGCACTTATCAAACAAACCTAAAAAGCTTACAATTGCATTTTAAAAAAATCAAAAAGAGAAATTTGTTGTAAGGGTTGACACACACTTTAAAAGTAAAGATTCATGAACTATGTTGCTCCTATAAATATTTTAAAACACCATTATTTGTAGGGATGCACCGAAATTTCAGCTGCCAAAACATTTCAGCTGAAAATAGCTCTATCGGTATTTTGCCGATATGAAAAAGTTAACTGATACAGGTGCTGATACAGGGGACTGTGTGTACTGCAGATATGGTGGTGGGGGGGCAGTGGAGAAAGACAGGAGAGAAGCAGTGTACACAGTGATTGGCTGCCTATATATCAGTGCCAGTTTTTAAACCGGCTTTTTTTTTCTTCGCTATAGCTCAGAGAATGAGCTGCCACTCTCCCCTGAGCTAATGGAAACAAAGGAATGGTTTCCCTGGGTAATAGCACTAGGTGACCCCACCCCTTTGTTTCCTTTAGCCCTCTGAGAATGACAGCTCCTTCTCTGAGCTCTAGTGAAGGAAAAAAAAATGCGGTAATTGCATTTAAAAACAATGCCGTTTTTTAAATGTAATTACTGGCTTTTTTTCCCGGTAATTACATTTAATAACCAACACTGACATATAGTGACAGCCAGTGAAGGAGCCTCTCTGTATACACTGCTCTTCTCCTGCCCCCTCCTTGCACACACTGCACCCCCACCCCTTCCCCCCTACAAAGAGGACCTGTCACTTTAATGCTATCACATAGGGGACTATTGGTCCCCTATGTGAAAGCAATAAAATCATAAGTTAAAAAATAAAAACATTAACGTTATACATTAACATAGAAAAAAAAATTAAAAATTGGAGTCCTCACATATGCAGATGTTTTGGTTCAGATTTCGGCCACGTGAATTCTGAATTTTTGGTATCCGTTTCGGCACCAGAATTTTAATTTCAGTGCACCACTAATTATTTGATCATTGCCAATATTGAACAAACCACATTTAGTCAAATGTGCTTGACTTAAAGTAATCCTGTCATTAACTGGCAATTCAGAGCAAGCATATGATAGAAAAAATACATATATGGAAGATCCCTTTAATAAAAACCACATCTCAAACTTTATGCAAGCCTTAGCTTTTTCTTTCTCTTGCACTATAAGCATCTCTAATTTAATAGGGAGCCTTCTTCCCCAACAGAGATCCTTGGGACATTTTACTGGACAATTTCTTGTAATATCAGCTTGTAAGTGAAAAATGTTCATATATCTACAGCTCTCAATCTACTGATTGCTTTACCGTGGTTTTCCATGAATGTAACCCTTGCTCATACATATTTTCATCATATGCTCAGTCTGAATTGGCCAGTTTTGCAGCTCGTTTACCTTATGTATGTGCAACATTTATAAGCGTGTCATATTACAATAATTATATTCCGTATTTGGTGGCACAGAGCTTTGTACACATATTTGCTACATCCTGATACAGTGGAATCCATATATTTGTGTTTCACGTTGATCAAAGTACACTTTTTCCCTAATTATAAGATGTGTATGTTCTCCTAATTATTAGGTTCTTTTTCCTAATCCACAAAAAATGTACTGTATCAGGTTTCTGTGTCATCATGGTCTTGTACTGTATTTTTTCATTGGCTATAAATTTTCCTTTGATACAGCAGAGTTCATGTTTCAGTAATAAAAAACACATAACCCATTCATTTTCATTTTTGGCATATTTTCCTTGCAATCTGGTTAATATTGTTGCAGTGACAGTCTTCACTAACACAGTGCTATCACCTGTGTCTTTTCCTGTGGTTATTGTATTGGGGCTCCTAAAGCAATAGGTACCTTGAACAGCGTCATAGAGTGTGATTAGCAATGTATTAATGTCTAAAATGTCCTAATCCTTACCCACAAGGGGTCTATATGAGAATATGCAGTCTGGTCAGCTTGTGTATTATGTCTTCTGTCTGAAGAACAGTAAGCAGGTGTGGAATCAATTGTATTGTCCCTGTATGGGTTTATCATTGATATACAGCATTCTACAGAGTTTCAATTTCATCGTCTACTCCTTTACAGGACTATTCAAGTCAGAGAAAAACAATTCTGTTGAGTCACTACAGGACTTGCTGACTTCAGATTCTGAAGGAAGCTTTGCAGGTGCAAGTAGCCCAAGAGAATTGCAGTCACCTGACTTTACTGCCGCATTTAGTCCTGAGAAAAAGGAGGTATGTTAAGGTTTCTGCTTACCCTGAAGTCATATGTCTTCTTTTGCTACAGCGCAAAGGTGTTTTTTGTTAGTTTACGCTAGTTTTAATATATTGATAGAAACATTAATGGTTTGTGGAACTACCAAAATAAAAGAAGATATGCTCCTGTAGTAGTTGATTCTTTTTCATAAAACAGATACAGTATACAGTAAGTAATATAACATATTACACACACATCTATTTGCTGTCTTTTCTTAAAAATTCCTTTTACTTTTGAAAATGTTCACAAGTGTGTGGACACATTTGTCATTCTGTATGTTTCCTCTGTGCCCCTGGGACTTAGAGTCCCCTTTATGTGCATGCTTCTGATTTTTGCTACAACTGTACCTGCAGCATTCTGAACACCTGTGAGAGCAGAGCTGCTGTCAATCACTTTAAAGCTGTTCATTAATAAATTCTCCCACACTCATGGCAGCTGGGTACAATACTTACCTTCTATTCCTGCAGTTTTTCTTTCAATGTGGTCCCAGCTGGCCCCTCTTCATATTGCACATGCAAATCTTAGCTTCTTTGATTTCTATAGATAGCCGTACTCATGGCAATCTCTCAAAGTCTGGCTTGCCCATGAGTGAAGTTGTGCTTTAATTAAGGGGGATATAAGCATATCAGAGGCTAATAATTCAGTTTGGTTCTCTCCATCTTGTTAGGCTATTAAATAGCCACACTTCGGCAGTAGCTGAGGTATATAGCTTTTACATTTTACAACATCAATATGAAAATGGGTCCAAAATGTGAAAATGCGAAAATGCATTATGGTTTTTCTTCTCTGTGGCCCTATGGCTTGGCAATTTCCCCAGCAAAATTGTTTTCACTGTGAGTAATTTGGTTGGTCTACTGATCACATCATTCTTCATTGCACTGAATGGTAGTTAATATATGACCATAGTTGTTTAATAGAATTACAATAACAACCCATAGGTGTCTTGAAAGAAACTTGGGATTTATTGTGTTACTTACATATGATGCCTAAAAAATACTTTTTAAAAAAAAAAAAATGTTTATAGAAAAGGGAATCAATTACAAATCAAACAGTTTAATATTATATATGTGATGTAAAATAATTATGAAAAGGCAATGCATTTTTAACCTATTTAACCTAGACAATTTTTTCTACTGTAGTCAAAAAATAAAGTTTGGAATATTAGCACCAGCATCTCACCACCTCAAGTAAGCGGGTCAGCTGCTAAAAGTGTGCCAAAACTCAAAGCTTCCTCTCCTAAGATGATTCCAAACAGCAAGCCTGCTCCTACCACTTCTCCAAATTGGGTCACTGTGTCTTTCAGGTACATGTATGCACAAGTTATATCTATGTTTTTGTGAAACAAAACTGTGAAATATTGCAATCAGCTCATTACAGGATTGAAGAATGGTAAATACATTTACCTTTTTTTACACCACATACATACCACTCACACACAGTCCTGCTAAACATGCCTCATTTGTGCCCATATTGATGGAGACAGCACTGTTATGTTGTGGCTTCCTTTGCAGCTGCCTACCATCCACTTAAACCTTGATCTTTTAGTCATGGGTTTTAATATGACATTGGTCCTGGAGGTTTCCCCTCTGTCCTTGCCCTTTGGCCTCCATCTGATCATAAGCTTCTTCCCCAAAAACTGACACCACCCCCCCCCCCCCCCATTATATATTACATGTAATATAATGCTAGTACCTTTTCATATAGAATAAACTGACGATTACAGTTTTACACTTTGTGGCTTCTTTAATTTACTTATTTTACCGGTTAACATTCCAGTTGGTTAGGTCTGTGGTTTTCATTAGCTGGTCCTGGTAGGAGATCCAGTTGATAGGACTCTTGCACAGCAAACAGCCTACAGACCTCATACCCCAATTCCTCTATTTCAAGCACAGTATATTTGCATACTCCACCCCACCCTATCTTTAAAACTTTGTGTTCCCAACTGGTTTGCTGCATCTGGTCTTGCTCCCCAGCACGACTTAAGTGTGATATACTAGGGAAGCAAAAACAAGCTGGACTTTTACTATAAATCCACAATACTGTGTAATATTATTGACTGGTTTCATATCGAACCCCGCAAGCATTTGGTTTCTATAACTTTTACCCTTATTCCCATCCTTCTCATCTCCCTTCCATGAATCTGGAACCCCAAAATTTCCTTACTCATGTCCTACCTTGGCTGGCCCACTGGAGCCTCTTCACCTATTCTGCAAGCACTCTGTCCTATAAGATTGGGTGGAGGCCACCCACAGACCTACTGCCTTCACAAGGAGATTACACTGGGGACTTGGCTTCAGAACTTTCAACTTCAACTACGAAACTTCTATGACAGCAGACAGAGCCCCCTTGTGATCTCACTCCATTTGAGGATCTCTGTATACACACGACTGGTACCTTCCTCATTCTGTCACAACTATACTTATTATACCTGAGACATATGTTACTGCCACATTACACTAGAGACTGGCAGAGAGAACCAGGACACGATCTATCTGACAAAGACTGGGATAAATACTTTGTACTCAGCCACTCCACACTCACCTCCAGTTCTGTTTTAAAAACAGAATTTCAAAATATTAACTAGATGTCACAGTGCCCTTTCACAATACATCTTCAATGCAGAATTCTCCTGTGCGGGAGAGGATGGACAGCCTGGAATTCCACCATGGGAGTGTGAGTGTGTGCTTTATTAGCTCCTCTGACAGTGGACACCAGTGGCTGCAGCTTTCTACATCTCCACACAGACTCTGTCATCTGCTCTCAGAGGCAACTCCTTTCTACATCTCCACCGGCTCTCTTCCCAAACCGCCAGCGGTCTGAACCATCCTGCCAACTGTGGCTATGGACATATCCCATCATGACATGCCTTTGGTTTCTTCACCCGTGTGAATGCAATATCATATGAATTTTATTATCTATTCAATAAATGCATTTACTACACTATATTAGGCTCCTTGGCAACCCTCTCCCCTTCATCCTTCTTCTCAGTTCCTACAAAAGCAGAAGGGTCTCAGTGATGTGTGTGTGCGTGCGTGCGTGCGTATGTATGTGTTGGGGAAGGGGTGGGGGAGTTACACAGGTGGAATCTTCAGTCCCTCCACTTCTCCCAGTCTTTTGTCTTTACCATGTATTTTATTCTTTCTGTTCCTTACCTGCACCCTCTCCCTATCTAGACTTTACATCTGTTCTTCTCATGCATAGAGTACTTGATACAGCCATAGAAGCCTACTCAAATCAAGTTTATACTGAGTGCTTATCCCTATACTGATCAGTAATGCATTCTATATTTTAATGTTCTCTCAGCCAAAGATGTCCTTTCAAAATGATCAACAAATGTTTTGTCACTGAAGAAAGCGAAACATCTTATTTTTTTAAATTTTTTTTGCAGCATGAAAACAAGTATATCTTAATTGAACTTCTATAATGGTGATGATATATTTTTTTCTTTTGTATTTCAGTCCCATCAGTCCTCCTGCTATAGATCTCAGAAGAATCATGGAGATAGAAGAAAATAATCAAAAATGTGGAGCTACACCAAAATTAAGTACAGGGTTGGTTCAGATATCTTTATTTCTTGTTTTGTTACACTTTCACTCCATAGACTATAATGTCTTACACTTAAAGATTTGAATAAGTTTGCCAAGCACTATTTGCATGAAACGTGGCAACACAACAAATCCTAATTGCTATTTTTATTAAGCTGTGGGAATAACTTGTTTTCTTGGACCTACTACTCCCTACAGTCATATACATACAGTTCGGTCCATATATATTTGGACACAGGCACAATTTTCATACTTTTGGCTCTGTATGCCACCAGAAGAAATTAAAACAAAACAATCCAAATGAATTTGAAGTGCAGACTTTCAGCTTTAATTCAAGGGGTTGAACATAAATATCAAGTACAAATTTTAGAAACGGAAACCATTTTTATACACAGTCCCTCCATTTTCAGGGGCACAAATGTAATTGGACAAATGAATATAATCATAAATAAAATGTTAATATTTTGTTGAGAATCCTTTATTGGCAATGACTGCCTGAAGTCTGGAACCCAAAGACATTACCAAAGACTGGGTTTCCTTCTTTCTGATGATTTGCCAGGCTCTAACTGCAGCTGTCTTCAGTTCTTTGTTTGTGGGCCTTTCTGTTTTTAGTTTTGCCTTCAGCAAGTGAAATGCATGCTCAATTGGGTTGAGATCAGGTGATTGACTCGGCCATTGCAGAATATTCCATTTCTTTTGCTTCAAAAGCTCCTGGGTTGCTTTTGCTGTGTGTTTTAGATCATTGTCCATCTGTATTATGAAGTGCCACCCAATTAACTTTGCTGCATTTGGCTGAATCTGGGCTCACAGTATATCTCTAAACACTGCAGAATTCATCCGGCTGCTTCTGTCTTCTGTCACATCATCAATAAACACCAATGACCCAGTGCCACTAGAAGCCATGCATGCCCATGCCATCACACTGCCTCCACCATGTTTTACAGATGACGTTGTGTGCTTTGGATCATGAGCTGTTCCAAGTCTTCTCCACACTTTTTTCTTCCCGTCATTCTGGTTAGATTAGTCTTAGTTTCATCCATCTAAAGAATGCTTTTCCAGAACTGGTCTGGCTTTTTTAGATGTTTTTTGTCAAAGTCTAATTTGGCTTTTCTATTCTTCAGGCTTATAAATGGTTTGCACCTTTAGGTGAACCCTCTGCATTTGCTCTCGTGAAGTCTTCTCTTGATTGCAGACTTTGACAATGATACGCCCACCTCCTGGACTGTGTCCTTCATTTGTCTGGATGTTGTGAATGGGTTTTTTTTTTACCATAGAGAGGATCATGCGATCATCCACCACTGTTGTCTTCCGTGGATGTCCATGCCTTTTTATGTTGCTGAGCTCACCAGTGTGTTCTTCTTTAGTCAGAATGTTCCAAACTGTTGATTTGGCCTCGTTTTTGAAGCCTTACAATGGTCTGTTTCACTTGCATCGACAGCTCCTTTGAACGCATGATGTAGATTCACAGCAATAGATTCCAAATTCAAATTCCACACGTAGTATCAACTCCAGACCTTTTACCTTGTTAATTGATGAAGAAATAACGAAGGAGTAGCCCACACGTGGCCATGAAACAGCTTTTGATTCAATTGTGCAGTTACTTTTGGTCCCTTAAAAAAGGGGGGATGGCTACTCTTAAGAGCTGTTATTACTAAACCCTTCCTCCAATTTGGATTTACATACCCTAAAATTAAACTTGAGAGTGTGCACTTTCAGCACATATCCATTATAGAACTATAGCTTGAATATGTTTTGGTAAATACCTGAAAAATCAAAAACTGTGCCTGTGTCCAAATATATATATGGACCTAACTGTATATAAGCATTAAAAACATGTTGAAGCTGTCAGTGATAACAGGCGCAGGCCTGGCATGATGTCCTCTGTCCCAGATATCTCAAAGCGTAGCCATGGTCAAAATGTTTGTCTTGAATAACATTGCATTCAAGATGAATATAATAATTAAAACCGCACGTCACACTCTTTATTTTTTTGTATTCCATACAAGCTTTATTAATAGTTCATAGGTATAGTATCTAGTATACAGACAGACATAAGCCAGGGGTTCTCAGCCTTTTGAAGCGTGAGGGCCACTATGTAACCTCATCACAGGCCACAATGAAATTAAATAGTTAATAATCTCAAATTTGTTATTTTGAATAGCGCAATGAACGTTTTCCTCCTGCAACCACTGAATTCTGGCAGGAGGGAGAGGAGGAGAAGCTAATTTGCAGTGGTTACAGGAGGAAAATGGAGAGGATTGGTTCCTGTATATGCCGCCCTCACTGCCGCTCTTGTCCAATGTGACAGACAGGCTGCATGGACCCCATGAAGGTACACAAGTGGTTGGGGATGGGATGTGCTAAAAACATGTCTCAACTATTGGGTTTTACTGATCCCCAAACTGCAAATGTAAAGGAGCCCTTACTGGTCTGAGCCCCCTATAAAGCTGCTTTCTCTCTGATGCTCTGCGGGTTACCCACTCCTTAGGTGCAGTACAGTGCACCTTTGGCTTTCCTGCAGGTTAGCTGCGCTTTGCCATGGACTTCTTTTATATCTTGTGAGTGTGGTGCACTTTCTGAAAGTGCACCAAAACTGCATTCAGGAGTTTTGGTACCATTTCAGAAAGTACACCAAACCTGCAGGATATTATAGAAGTCTTTGGCTCAATACTGCTAACCAGCAGAAAAGCCGCAAGTGTGCTGCACCCACAGACCAGTGTGCAAGCAGCCAAATAGTTGTTAACCCTTTTATAGGTGCTAATCTTAACTCTTTTATAGGTGCTCATTGCAAAAGCACAGTGTATGTGTTGTTTACCACAATGACCTTTTCCTCATCCAGCTTCTGCTGGTATTGCTCTTTAGGCTGCTGGAAAGGTCCCAGGCAAAGTACACTTAGTATCACTCCACCTGGGACAAGAGCCAGCACTACGGAGGAAGCATCGGCTTTTGTGGCTCCTTCTTCCTCCAGTGCCAGGGCCAGCTTGATGCACTCTGATAGTCTGAAATGGCAGGATGACAAGTCCTGATTGCGACCAATGGGTTGTCAACCCTGGGAATTAGCTTCCCTGGTTTGATGTTGTGGGCCACATCAGAGGGCTCCGGGGCCAACAAGTTGAGCACCCCTGGCATAAGCTGACGAGTATCTCAATAATCTGTCAAAACATTTTGGTTATAATGTAATTTTGATGAGGTGACGTATATATAAGAAGAAATATACATTTCAACAGTAAAATACAATAGTAATATTAGAATCCCAGGTTTGGAACAGACAACATGGGCAGTTAACAGGCTCCATGGCATCTGCAAAATGAACCCACAAGAGTCCCAACAGTCTAGCAAGTACTAACTTGTCAACCTCAGAGGTCTTGAACAGCATGCAAATAGCGGCGAGTTTCCCCTTTGCTTGGTAAGCCACACTATTGTAAATCATGGGTAATAGAGACATATGTCTTAGGGCAGGGAAACTGGGTGCATGCAAAAATACCATGACCCACGCAAAGGGGAAATGGATTTCAGGATGTCACTTTCTGTTCACTTTTTTTTTTACAAAGAACTTATTTGCAATGTCCCATGTTCAATTCTATTCTGCTCAGTAGGTTTTGCATTGGGTTACATCACAGCACACTGCACTGGAAAAAATGCACATGCAGTACTTTTTTTTTTTTTATCTAGTGCACACCACAGCAACGCATATTTTGTCTTTCCTATGCGATAGGGCTACACTTGTTATGAAAAAAAAAAGGCAGTGTAGCCCCAACGTATCTGGTGTGAATGAGCCTTTAGCTGAGGAGTCCTCATCGTCCAGGATGATTTAGACACCTGCAAGTTTTTTATTGCAGTCTGTGTCCTCATTGCATTGGAGAGATTTTCTCACTTGCTTTGTGGTTCCTAGGACAGAAAGTGAGAATGAATATCCTCAAAGGGGACAAATATGGGAATAAAAAATTTCCAGAGGTCTAGCCCATACCTATTCTATCCAAAACATAAAGTAACAATATTGCCTGGTGTTGGAATTTAAAGTGGGACTCCAGACAATACATTGACAGGGGGACAGAGCAGACAATTGACCTCCTGCCCAGTCACAGGTTGGGGCGGACTATATTGCTCAACTTCAGGCTATTATCACAGAGTATTTGGGAAGAGCAGTGTGATGGGGTGTCTGAATCACAAGAGTAAATAAAGAAAACTTTAAATCCTTAGGCAGCAGTAACAGTTGCTGTGTATTATTTTAACTTTGCGTGTAGCTGTTTGCTTGGAGTTTACAAAAAGACAAAAATAACTTATATGTAAATATATTATTCATGCAAATTACTTTTTTTTTTTTTTTTTTTTACTCTGAAGACTAACAAGGTTTTTATTTTTAAAACATTATGATTATTTTACAGGGTACAAAAGTCTACCATTCATGGTACAAAGCTGTCTCAGAAGCAGCGGAAAATGATGGCAATGTCTTCTAAAGAGATTGGCAGCACAGAAAGTACAGTTAACAGTGCAGCCCTTACAAATAGCAAGAGTGCACCAAAAACATGGTTAGTATACCTTCAAATAAAATGTTCCTTTTTTTAGACCTGCTGCTTGAATGTAATTGATTCTGATTTGAAGTATTGCTTTGCTTGTGTTTAATCCAGAATTTGTATTTTAATTAAGTAAAGTAGAACTATAGGCAAAACTTTTTTTTTTTTTCCATTTTAGATGAGGGTTAGCAAAAGAGGGTTATAACCCCTGTCCCATTTTATTTTTTTTCTCCATCTGTGTCCCATTATGGAGACTCCCCTTCACTTTCTGTCCCATAGCCAAACAGGTCGTGGGAAGTAATCCCTGGTCACCGGAACTAGTGTCCCTATTGGAATATTTCCCCTCTATTACTTTTTCTGGGGACAACCCAAAATTTGGAATTTTCTTTTACTTTCACTTTCAATGACAATGGTAAACAAGGACAAACAGAGAGGGTGAATCTCCTTAACAAGGGCCCAGACAGCAATAAAAACTGACAAATGCTCTAATCCCTCTCTGCTCTACCCAAATTAAGAAAAAAAATTGCCTTTAGTTATTCTTTAATACTGTATATCTTTATCATACAGTACAGGTCATGGATTGGATATTCTTAGACTGTGGGTTACAAGTTACCTTCACGTGATAGGATACTGGCGCAGTTTTTGGACATGCCACCTCTTAGGTGTCCCCCTATAACCCCACCCCACTTTGTGAGATCTCAGTTCTTTGCTAGTGTCCTGTAGGTAATGGATCTCTGCTCTATTTTGGGGATGTTTCTGGGCTTAACTCGTTCCTATTTACTTTAAATTCTTCAATCAACTCTTCACTGCCTTCTACTTTAACAATAACAGCAGCGCACTTGACTCAGTTTGGTAATACCTTGGAAACCGTACATGGACCCCACCTTCCGTATTGTTGCTTAGAGTACTGAATTCTACTTGATTGCTCACCTCTGCACTTAGTGCAGTGGCTGTGGTTAGGCACGAGTGCTTTACAGGTCCAAGACCATGGTCCATTCCTATGGTTCCCAGGCTCTGAAGACCCGTCCAGGTGTATGTCCACCATGACGGTATGTCCACAGTGGTTTGAATGACTGTTTATACATTACAGTGGTTCGAATAGATCCTGAAATGGACTCATTGTTTGAAGTATCTGGTTCTAGTCCTGTACACAGCTCATGTTAGAGTGTTTCTTCCAAAGGAGAAACTTTAAACTCTTTGATCTCATATTCATGCTCTTCAGTCTAGGAGTTGTTTGACTGTCCACCTTTGAATGAGAGTCTCAGGCATGATGGCAGCTTCCTGAGGCAATCCCATTTTAGCCAGTTTCATTGCAGACTTCCTAAAACATTCTGTTGTCATGGGGCAAATCCCTGGACAAATTAAGCTATTTGACACAAAGGAACAAGTTGTCCTTGGTCTGGTGGCTCAGGAATCCAGCTCCAGAATTTAGGGTTTTTATTCACATTCTCTGGAAGATCCTTATGAGTGACACCAGCCTGTCAGGCTGGGGAGGAGTACTGGATACCATGTCAGTGAAGGGGACTTGGTTGTCGGAGGAGTCTCATCTGTGGAACAACATCCTAGAACTTCAGGTGAATTGGCGGTCTGCAGCGTTTGATCCTGCTGGAAGGTGATCTGATTTGGATTTAGTCAGACAACATCATTGCTGTGGCATACATCATCATCAGGAAGGAACCAGAATTCTTGCTGTGGCAAGAGAGGTAAATTGGATCTTATCTTGAGCAAGATGTAACATTCCGCATTGTTTGCCGTCAGCGCCTTGACCTGAGAGAATGGTCCCTACACCTGGAAGTGTTCCAGGACCTGTGTCGCAGATGTAAAATAATACATCTGGACCTCCTGGCCTCCAGGTTCAATAAAAAAACTGGACAAGTTTGTCTCCAGGTACAAGAATCCTCTAGTGAAAGTAGTGGATGCTTTTGTGCCTTTTTAAAATTTTGCACCCTGGCCTATGGCTATTCTTCTTTTGAAGCTTCTTCCTTGTCTGCTTCCCAGAATTGAGATGGAGGGCGTTCCAGTGATCTTCATTGCTTCAGATGGTCTCTGCTAGATCATCAGGATATTTTGTCTCAAGGACTGATTTGTCATTATGTTTCACAGTCGCTGGCTTTAATGGCATGGCTGTTGAAGTCTAAGTGTGGAGCATCTCTGAATCCATGGCTCCTACAATGCTAAAAACGACAAGTTTGCTGTTTGCAAGATCTCTCCTTAGAAACGAAAGGCATATTTCACTTGGTGTGAGTCCTAGGAGTTTCTCCATGGGATGAATCCTTCTTGCAGCTGGGTTTACACCAGCTTTTGGCTCTTTCTATTCTGGACTGATCTACAGATTTTTTTTTTTTTTCCCAGTGCTCAATCTCCCTGTAGGTAGCAGCATAACCCAGAGGTAAAAGACTTCACGTGTCCCTCAATGGACTCCAAGAAAAAGATTTTATGATTAGTAGAAAAATTCTATTTTTATTTCTTTTGTGTACAGGTTAGCCGGAATAGAGATTATAACTGGGCAGACCCTGTTTAATCGGTTGAATTATTGTGTGCATTAACAATCAGTGGGTTATTCTGGCATGGAGCTCTCATTTCCATTCATAACTTAAGTGCTGTGCAACTTGTGAAATCCATTGAAATGAAATACTTGCTATGGAAATCCAGCAGCATTTCTGGCGTTGTTGAGTGCCAGAAGGGTGGGAAATTTACTGGCTTTTTATTTAAGATGAGTAAGGACAACGAATACCTCAGACGTCCCATTCCAGGAGAAACCTCTGTTTTTCTTTCATCCTGTAAGTTTAGAAATAAATTCCTCCATGGCTGGTTAGGCAGAGATAAGTCATCTTAGGTGAAATTCTGAAGTTTCCATCACTATGTGAATTCCAGGGGAGCTTTTCTAGTTTCTCCAGAAAGACTGATTATGTGCAATTATACTGGTTCTCAAAACTTTGCAATTTTTATTTACTGAGAAAGCTGTTAAATAAAATGGAATACAATGGATCCCCTGGCTATGACAATATTAAACATAAACTGTATAGCTGTTGGCAAATAAATCTAGTTTTAAACAGCATTGTTAGAAAAATTAGACCAGCAGTCTATTGTTTGCTGATGCATGGCTAGTTAGCAAGTAAGTGGTTATGGCTTAAATTATCGGTCTACCCAAAGCTGAGATTTCAGTGTTAGGATATATTTAGCTTTCCAGTATATACCAGTTTATTTAATATGCATTATGTCTCAAATACACTGCTCGTGAATTTCTGGGTATGCCCGCCTGCTTGTGATAATTATGTGGGTATTTTTTATTTTATATTACGGAGAATGCATCAGGAATTTCTGGAACTTTCAACACTGGATGAGAACACTCAAAATTAACCTATAGGATTGTCAGTTTAGGCTCCTGAATTATTGTCTGTGATGTATATGCTCTACAGATATCATGCTCTCTTGTTATTTTCTTTCTTGTTTAAGAAAGCACATAAAAATAATTTCAGATCTAGCTGGCTAACACAAGATAACATTTGAATGGCTCTTGCTTTGTTTGCAGCATCAACAGGAGTTTCCCAGACAGTGGCTCCTGGGAAAAACATAATTGATTTGACCATTTTCAAACCCTTTTTTGATTGCTATCCCCCCTTCCCCTACCTTTTTTGATGAGCAGTTTCAGGAGCTTCTAGTCGTTGCTTCATTTCCCATTCTTTGAACATATGCTTTGGCCAAGCCAAATGTACATACAGTATATTGTATTTCTGCTAGCTAATTATTATTATACAGGATTTATATAGTGCCAACAGTTTTGCACAGTGCTTTACAATATAAAGGGAGACAATACAGTTACAATATTAGTCCTTGCATGTCTATGCCCAACTCTAGCCAAAGTTTTTCCATTTATAAGAGATTATAAATCTCTGCCAGTTTTCATTGCTGTGTGTGTCTTGATTTGTTAGGTTATACTTTACATTCTGCCCCCAGTGACACCTGTCATTTGCAGATATACAGGTTATTTTTGGGACTTAAGAGAGAGTTAAGAGGAAATATCTCTAGTGGGGACACAGAGCGCAGTAAGAACCAGAGGTTCTATACCATTTCCCATTAATGTAGATGTTTTGATTAATATTGGGCTAAGCACAATTTGGAGAAAAAAAAATATATTGTCTGTGTTCCTATGATAATGAAAATGTGACACACTGAGGATATAGAAACATCAAAATTCTGTCAAAGTGGCTTCAAGCTAAATTTATTAGTAACTAAATAGAATATATGAATATATAACTGCCACAAATCATTAGGGTTATATGACTGCATGTTTGCTTTATATGTTGAAAGAAAGAAAAGAGAACTTAAGAATTTACCAAACCATTTTCTCATATTTTTTTTTTAGTACTGTCTAATGTGATTAGACAATTAAAGTGCAGTGAAGTTGAAGCTTTCAGAACAGTAGTGTTTATTTTGTGTGGATGCCTGACTCTTAAAGTTGAACATATAAAAAAAGGCAAAACTTTTTTTTTTTTTTAGAGAGGGATTTGAACCCCTGTCAGTTTTTATTGCCGTCTGTGCTTCCATTCAGGATATTCACCCTCTCTGTTTGTTTGTCCTGTTTATCATTCTCATTGAAAGTAAAGAAAACCCCAAATTTTGGATTGTCCCCTAGAAAGTAAAAGATAGGAAATCTTCCAAGGGGGACATTAGTTCTGGCGATCTGGGATTCCCTTAATTTGCAGGAATTTCCTCACTTCCTGTTTTGGCTACGGGACAGGAAGTGAAAGGAAATCTCTGCAATGGGACACAGATGGCGAAAAAAAATCTGATAGGGTTATAACCCTCCCTTACTCTATACAAAATGGGGGAAAAAAAAGTTTTACATATAGTTCAACTTGAACTCTAGGGAAACTTAATTACTGCAATGTTTCACTTGCCTTCTCCCTCGCTCCTGCAGGCTCCTCCTAAAGTATGACTGTTCACCAAAGCCACTTCTCTTTAGGACTTCTGTCTCTTTCTGTTGTCATCTCATACAATGCAGGACCAGTAGTCCTGCATTGTAAGTGAGGACTCCAAGGGCTGACCCACAACACTGAACATTAGAGGGAAGAGGTAAGTGTCAGCTATAGGGGGAGTGAGAGAGAAGGTAAAATATATATTTATATTGTTTCCCTAAATAAAAATGTGCTTTTGACTCTTACAGTTCAGGGTAAGCCCCACAGCAAGGGTAGTTTTTACATTTCCCTGGAGATCAGCTTTAAATAGTCATGTCAGTGAGTTGAAATAAGGCGATGTAAACGAGGGGTCTATAATAAATCTTTACAGGGCCTCGTCTGTACAATCTGCAAGAGAACACAAATCATTCCGTGACCTCCTTCTTGAAGAGCAAAAAAACTGTCATCTCTCAAAACTCACTGGGCAATGCTGGCAAAAAAAACTTCCAGCAGGAGGAAATGGACCCTCGCAGATTGCCAAGGTAAGAATGTTGTGGAGTTTTTTTTAGTTTTTTTTTTTTTGTAATTTTTGCTGGTATAAATGCAAGAAAAAATGGAAATATTTGCTATTGTTTAAAATATTCAGTTACTTAAAACACTTTTAAGCAACTTCTTATGCGGTGTGGGATATTTATAAGCAACTAGTTTTCCATGTTTGGGGGATTTATATATATTTGTAAATAGTGACTAATTATGCTTTATAAAATAACAGTAAAAAAAGCAAAACTCAAATTGCACAAACTGTTAACTAAGCGTTTTTTGTTATACCAGTGCTCCAGAAATGCTAACATTGTTTTGTAGCTTCCTTCACATATATGGGTGAAAATAAGACAAAAAAAAGTGTAATCAATTGTGACTTACAATCTCTTGACTCTAGCTGCATTAGTTTCCCATTTTCAGGCTAAGAACCTTTTCAGCAAGTATATATGCTTTAATTTGTGCAATTCCTCTACATGACTTAGCATGAAAAAGCATTGTCTGTAGTTTGTTTAAGAGTTTTATTAGAATTTGCTTCCATACTGACCCCAGTGTAACTTAGGATTTATTTTGGACAGGTAAAAATTGACTAAAACAGTTTAGTTTGGCTCACAGACTTTTAAAGCAGAAAATTCTTTCTTGAGCCAGCTTCCTCTCCACATCTGGAGAAACCTGTCTGGGGTGTGAGCATAGTGCTAAAACAGAACTTACCTTTAAAGTATTACGTTGGGAGTGCTTCTAGTATGCTGTCAAACTAAGGAAACCTTTGTTTTGTTTTTCTGGTTGCCTGGTTTACTTCCTGACCGGTGGATGATTTTAACTGTATAATAGGGAGGCTACTATTGCCTTGTGATTTTTTTTTTGGTTTTGTACATTTTAGTGTAATGACTGAGGAGACCACAGACTTTGACCATTTTTGCAGCGCAGGCATGCATGTGTCAGTGCTCAATGACATATTGCAGGCCATTGAACAAATCATTTATATTATGACGAGCTATCAACATTTATCTTCAAGGCTGACACATGTATTTAGGATAGAGATAAATTACTTCCTTAAGAAATATTAGAGCTCTGTTCTTTGAAAGGAATGCATCCAGTAAAACTTAGACAATGCAATGGCCATAACCATCAATGCCAAAAATTTCACAGGCACTTTTAGTTATAAGTACTACAGCATCATTTGCTTGCATAGAGAATTTCATCACTATTTGCTTTCAAAAACGTACATCCATGTTTGCCTTTTCACTTAAAAGTACTGTGTCCATGCTCACGCACTACTTTTCTTTCAAAGAGGACAAAAAAAAGAAAATCATTCTAAAGCGATCAGAAATATAAATAGATTCAGAAAAGAAAAATAAGCTAGTTTAAGATTCCAACAACAGCCACAAATACCTTTTGTATTCTTGAGGCTTTCTTGCTTTTTTCTTACGCATTTCATGAATAAATATTATTACATCATTTTGCCATTTTAATGTCATCCTTTGCAAAAATATACCAGGTAATGCATGCTGTTTTGTTGAATGGCAGATCTAGAGGGAAGTGATATGGTCAGCTACGTTGGGAAGAAAAGTATAACATTATTTCAAACCAGTTGTGTGAAATATAAACTGTGTGTATATGTGGTAGGGGGTTACTTGCTTCAGGCCATCATTTCAGGCATCTGGGGATGAGTAGTTTGAAGGGATGACAGTTGAGAAGCAAATAAGGAAATAAAGGATGACGTAAGTTGAGGGTTATCGTTATGTAGGTTGGGTACATCAACTAGGGGAGCAGGGAATGGTGAAGCATCAGCATGTGCATGTTTGGTAGAAGAACTTGCTTTGAGTGGGGAAAGGATTGTATTTCATCTGTAGCATGGGTCATTTGGAACTTGATGTTAAATATGCATATGCTTAGGGGGAGAAGAAGTGAGCATATGTTTTGGGGGAATTGTATCAATCCAAGGGGGTGATGATGATGAGTGGCAACATTCCAGTTGTGCAGCAATGCCAAGAGTCCAAGAGAGTTTGGGATTTACACAGAAGCCACCCTTAGTCTTGGTCTTAAAAACCATGAATTTTTTTTATAACATTCGATAAAAAACAAAAGCCAAAGTACTGAATTTAGGGTTGAAGAAATTGTTTAAATCTAATTTAGTCAACGTGAAGACTCAACATGTTTCAATAGATGTCCTTTAGCAGTACATGTTGATGATCTCTAAGAGATATAACAGGTATATTATAAACACACAAATTGGATATGAATGTTTCCAATTATAATGTGTGTTTATAATTTGCTGTGATTGGCTACCATCATGTGAAAGGCAAACTTGATACAGGTTAAGTCCTGCCAACTATGCAACAAGCCAAACCTCTTTCATCCCTCAGCAAATCAAATGCTATATTTTAATTGAGCTTTAGTTGCAGGCTGTGTTGATGGACTTTTCCCGTCAGAACTGCTTCTTTCCCCATACAAGTCAATGGGACCCCAGAAGCAGGTTGACGCAGTTTAGGAGGTCAGGTGCACCTGTCAATGAAACCTACATGATCTCCAAAGTCTCCCAAACTGAAGTGGAACTAAACGGAAAGAACTACCTCCTCATTCCAGTAATGTGGCAGTTAAATCACTCGCCAGCTGCTGTCATTTTTCTCTCCGGCTACTTCCAGGAGCTGGGTTTTCAGCCTCTTGATTGGTCGGTGGTGGAATGACATTATTATGGCACAGCTGGAGTGTGGCAGGAAGGTGCAGCTCCATGTGTATTTAATAGAAGGCTGTGAGCCAGTGGGTATGTGTTGCATGTCTTTTCTGCAATAAAGAGCTGCCAGTTCATAATTTATTGGTTACCTTTAGTTCCGCTTTAAATGCAGGAGGAATGCACCTGAAGGCAAGCTGCATTTGCCTATTGACACAGATCCAAAGCAAGTAAACACAGGTCTTAACTGGAGTTTGTTTCTCCTTAAATGCTCTCTTGATTCGTTGAAGTACCCTAGTTTGATTAAATAATTTAACATTTTCCTACGCTCTAAATTCTTTGAGGGTATTATTTATTTAATATTACAGGTGCTTATATAGAGCCGTCAATTTACTCAGCGCTTAACATTTATTGTACATTCACAGCAGTCCCTGCCTTTAAGGAGATTACAATCTAAGGTCCCTAACTCACACTCATACATACACATACTAGGGCCAATTTAGATGCACTTTGATGATGTCAGACGCCACACGTGGTGATCTCGGACATCTTGGAGACTCTGCCAGGCTTCACCATCTATGCTGCATATGCACAGTACCATCTGCTGGCAGACACCTTGGAGATTCCACCAGGCTTGCCATCCATGTTGCACATGCACAGCACCACCTGCTGGCAGACTCAATCGATCTCCTCTCTGGATCAGACACACAACAACATCTGGCTATAGACGTCTCACCTTCTTACCCATGAGCCTGTTTTTAAATTCTAAGATGTGAGTTACTACTTATCTTTCTATTAAATACCTTCACAGTACACACTTAGAGGCGCTGTGTTTCTTTGCTCCCAATTTAGACAGGAGCCAATTAACTTGTCTTTGGAGTGTGGGAGGAAACCCAAGCAGACACAGGGAGAACAGGATAGAATAAGCACAGAAAGTGAATCTGTTTTATTAAGGCCTGTTTTCTTATGTGTTTTCTTCTTAGTTCGAGCAATTACATTATCACAAGGGTAGCTTATGTTGGGGCACATATTTTCCTTCAGATTGTTTCCCTTTAAGATGGAAGAATACAGAATTCCATTGTGCCGAGGAAAATAATGTATATGCTCACCAGAGAGTGCTGTTGCATAAGCAGTTGTACTGTAGGTGATCTAATTCTGTAGTCTAGGGTTTGTAATACTACACACACACTAAAATGCTAACCTACAATATAGATTTTTTATTTTTTTTTCCCTATTTACTATATCATTTCTTCGTGCAGACTATGTAGGATACACTGATAGCATTGATCATTAGTGTAAACTGATACAGTAAAAGTGTATATTATTATTTTTATATAGAGCCAACAGTTTGTGTAACACTTTAGCTTATTCTGGGTTAAATTAAGGCACCATTCACATTAGCGCATCTTGATAGTTGCGTGATTTCCAGTGCGACTTTGATGCGACTTGTGGTGCGACTTTGGACCCCAAAGTCACATGGCAAGTCACACAAGTGTGAATGGACCCTCAAGGAAATGTTAGCCAATGGAAATAATCTGAAGTAGAATATCCCTTTGTTAAAGTGGAGCTCCAGACTAATATAAAAAAAAAAATAATAATACGGTGATGTATCCATAAAAAATTATTAAATGTATTTTCATTATATTGGATGTGGCTTTAAGAGGCATGGTTAAATAAAATCTGAGACTTCTCAGTATACAATGCACACATTTGTCCATGCATCGACAAAATACTTTACCACTTCCTGCCAGAGGTAACCCACCTTTGGGTGGGTGGGTTTTAACGCCAAGAGGCCGCATATATGTGGCCCTATGTAAACACGTTTGTGTGCTGAAAGCGCACGTCCTGCATGCTCCCGAAGCATACAATAGTTACATGACCGGAATGCCTGCCTCTCCCTCTTGGGATTTAGAAGTTATGCAGGGCCCTCGAACCCCTCGTGTAGTGTATTGTTACTGTCTTGTCTCATGTTCTGTCCCCCCTGCTTCTGTACAGTGCTGAGCATACCCATTGGCGCTATATAAATACTGTATAATAATAATAATTAAACGGCCTGGAGGTGGTGTCGGGAAGGGGTTAATAATTACTGTGCTATGAGTGAGAGCTTCACAAACAAATATAAATCTAAAGAATCATTTAAAAAAAAAAAAACAAATCAATATAGAGTGAGCACTTCCCTTTTTCTGTATTAAAGCAAACGGAAACTGCAACCAGCAAATGTTGAAAGAATAACCAAATTGGTCAGAAGTATGTAATGTATAGTGTACAGAATAGAATACAGTGATTAGCACTATGTAATGTTATATAGAGGTCAGTTGTTAGCACATATGTATG